GCCCCGGGCGGCCCAGCTCCAAGGAGGGCCGGCGCAGCGACACGTGCGAGTACTGCGGCAAGGTGTTCAAGAACTGCAGCAACCTCACGGTGCACCGGCGGAGCCACACCGGCGAGCGGCCTTACAAGTGCGAGCTGTGCAACTACGCCTGCGCGCAGAGCAGCAAGCTCACGCGCCACATGAAGACGCACGGGCAGATCGGCAAGGAGGTGTACCGCTGCGACATCTGCCAGATGCCCTTCAGCGTCTACAGCACCCTGGAGAAACACATGAAAAAGTGGCACGGCGAGCACTTGCTGACTAACGACGTCAAAATCGAGCAGGCCGAGCGCAGCTAAGGCGCCGCCGCCGCCGCCGGCGGGCCCCGCGCCTGGACGGCGGGACTGTCGCCGAGGGAGAGAATGCGGACCCGACTCGCCTCCGTGTCACTGCCACTTAGCACCCCGCGTGCCCCTGCGTGTCCCCGGGGCCCGGGGGGGGGGCGGCCCTCCAACCCAGCCTGTGTCTGCGAAGTCCTATGGAAACCCGAGGGTGGATCAAGGCAGTAAACATTGGGGAGCCTTTTAACTGTGCAATAATTTCCGTATTTATTGGGTTTTGTATTTTTTTTTTTTTTTTGGCATGTGCAGGTACTTTTTATTGTTCTTCTTTCTGTTGAAATTCCTTTAGGCGGTTCTGTTGGCTGTCTATCCATCCCTTCATTTTTTTTTTTTTTTTTTTAACTCAGTAGTAGCCTGAGGTGATTATAATGCAGAAGGGAAGCCTATGTTTTAAATTATAAATTTTTTTTTTTGGGGGGGCGCTGCTTTTCAGCTCAGCATGTGTAATTTCTTGTGAAGAAGCCGACACATACATGACCTTTCAATTGTTTACTTTTGAAAATTCCTTCTCTTTTCTTTTGTCCTGAGATGAAAAATGGCATGCGTTTTAGGGGGGGGTGTGGATGTACAGCGATAACAATCTTCAAAGTTGTAGCACTTTTTTTCAGAATTGGAACGGAGATGTAGCACTGACCACGTCCTGAGCAACAGAGAGGCCTTTTCTGTGTTCATTTCAACTTTCGTGTTTTATCAGGAAACCTTTTCTTGGTGGTATTAGGGGGGGAGAGAGGACAGGGGCATCCTGACGGGCACCGTGCCACTCGGCTCCACCTCGGAAACAGCCAGTTTTGGGAGCAGCCCAGGAAATGGGTGGCGCGCATCCGAGGTGGTGGGCCCCTGGCAGATGCCACCCTTTGCCGGGAGTGCTGGTAGGCCCTCGGATGGCTTTGCTCTTCCCTGTAGGTTAGACTCGATGACATGGGGCCAGGGTCCTTTTCCAGGTAGATGGGAGTGGCTTGCTGAGCACAGAAAAGAAGAAAGCAGTGCTGTTCTGGCGGCTTCCTCTGGCTGGACCACCTCTCTCTTTGCCTCGCTCCCACATAAACCCCAAGGTGTGTGTTGCTACAAGTGATAATTGCTAGTACCCAAGCAGACAGATGGCCTGATGGTTACTTGAGGAAGTTAGTGCCCGCTCATCCAATGCACACTGATGACATCTTAGGGAGAGGGGACAAGTCTTGTGAATTTCTGCCCCCATTTCCTGGGACAGCAGAGGAAGGAAGGTACCCAGCGCTACTTCCCACTTTTTTTTTTTTTTTCACCCCTATCCCGTTAGGTTGGAAGGTACTGCCCCTTGGACTGTTCAGATGAGACCTTTGAATTCTGTTGACCGGCACTTTAAAGCTTTTGTTTGCATTTAAATGAAATGGCTTCTAAACAAGAAATTGCGGCCTAGTCTTCTCTTTGGCCCCGAGGTGGGCTCGACTGTGAGGGACGGCTGCGACTGAGTGTCAGTGTTGGTAGGCGTGGCATTCACAATACTGGCACTATAAAGAACAAAAGAAGATGATAATTTATTGGACAGTCTTTCTACTGCCATCCAATTTGACGTGAGTGCCTTGGAAACTGACCTTCCTGAGTGTCTTGAGACACATGCAAATCTTTTTTTTCTTTTCTTTTGAAAATGAAAAGACTTTTTTAAAAAGTAAAACAAGAAAAATACGTTCCTTAGAAACAAACAAAGCCACCTTTACTTTAAATACATAAAAAAAAAAAAAAAAAAATTCTGGTTGAACCGTAGAGGACATGGAAACGCCATAAGACCCAATCCATTGAAGAAGGAAACCCAGCACAACTTTGGCTACCCGTTAGCTGAATTACCCTCAGCTCCTTTTTGTTTTTGGGGACAACGCTGCTTAGACATGGAGTGGAGGTGAGTTACTGCTGAATTTATTACTCAAGTGACACATGTGACAAGTCGCTATTGTTTGAGTGAAAAACAAAACAAACAATTCAGGAACCGGCTAATCTTTTTTCTAAAGTTACATTTAGTGCACTCTGTCTTACAAATACGTTTACAGTATTGGATACAAACAAGGGTGAGAAGAAATTGTGTGTGTGTGTGTGTGTGTGTGTATTGGAGCGGTCTTTTTTTTTCAAAGTTTGCTTAATAGATTATACAAAATGCCACAGTGGCCGCGTGTATATTGTTTTCTTTGGTGACGGGGTTTTAGTATATATTATATATATTAAAATTTCTTGATTACTGTAAAAGTGGACCAGTATTTGTAATAATCGAGAATGTCTGGGCATTTTACAAAACAAGAAAAACAAAAAAAACAAAAAAAAAAACAAAAAAAAACCCTTTTTCTTTTCCTTGAAAACGTTGCAGTAAAATCTAAATGGTGGGTCTATCAATTTGTTCTTGTCACAGTAACTGTAAAGTCGGAGTTTTAGTAAATTTTTTCTGCCTTGGGTGTTGAATTTTTATTTCAAAAAATGTATAGAAACTTGTATTTGGGTATTAAAAGGGGATTGCTACACCATGTAGAAAAAGTATGTAGAAAAAAAAAAGTGCTTAATATTGTTACTGCTTTGCAGAAAAAAATAAATCACAATTCTGACCTGTACTTATTTTTCTCTTCCCACCCCCCTCTGGAATGGATATATTGGTTGGTTCATATGATGTAGGCACTTGCTGTATTTTTACTGGAGCTTGTAATTTTTTAACTGTAAGCTTGTCCTTTTAAAGGGATTTAATGTACCTTTTTGTTAGTGGATTTGGAAATAAAAAAAAAAAAAAACCACAAAAACAAACAGGCTGCCATAATATATTTTTTTAATTTGGCAGGATAAAATATTGCAAAAAAAAAAAAAAAAAAAAATTTGTATGTTGAGTCCTATTGTCCAGGAGAGAGAAGGTTGTTTAACAGCCTTTTGAGGAAAAGAAACAAAAAGAAGCCGTTCGCTGCTTTGGGTCACAGATCATTTTAACTGTAGATATTTGTGTTGGAATCGGCCTACACAGAGAACTGTTGGCATCCTAGGGTGTCACTCGGAAGGCCCCATGCCTTGCCTCAAGGCTCCCTGGGGTGACCGGTCCAGGAGTCTGCTCTCTGTGTTGAGTGGAAACATCCCATGTTGGGAAGAGCTGGGAGCATCCCCCAGAGGCCTGCCTCAGAGATCACCTGTCAGCTGTGAGGGAAAAGCGGGAGAGTGTCCCTCTTCTCAGGCATCAGCCCCTGTGGGCACCACTGCCACCACCACCTCTCCCAGCAGCCAGAGCAGAAAGAAATGCAAGCTAGGCTTCTGTAGGCCTGAAAACCAGTGTCATGAAGGGAGCTGGCGGGTGTGCCAGCGCGGGTGACACGGTCAGCGGGCCGTCGGTCCTCCTGCAGGCCAATTCTGGGGAGGCCAGGCTGGCCCGCTGGCCCGACCCGTTGGCTGTGGGGAGGGCTGGCCTGCTGTCTTTCTCCCCTGCACCGCTGCTTCTCTCTTGGGAGCCCACGTGTCTGTCCGGTGCCTAGGGCCTGGGGGGATTTCGGTGCCTTCCGCTGACTCTGCCTCAGTTTCCCTGCGTGTCCTCCATCCCCAGCCTCCTTCAGCCTCATTGTTCTGTTCATTTCCTTTCTTCTCCTCCTTCCTTCCTGCTTCTCTCTCTTTGTCCTTTTTTTTTTTTTTTGTAAAGCCAAGTAGCTTTAAAATAGTAAGTGGTGGTTTTTTTTGGATGAGGGAATACATTTTTGAAATTACCTATACCAGGAAGCCATTTTTTCTTTCAGGCAAAGTGAGCAAACATGCTGTCAGGTTAGGGAAGGATAACCAAGCACCCTGTGGGCCGGAGTGTGACCAGATGCGGGCCTTTCTCCCCAGGGCCTTGTATCCCGGGTTCTGCGTTCCTTACCACTCACCTCTGCAAAGTTAAAAGGAGGGAGGGTGACCGCTGGAGCTTCGGTTTCCTACCCCCTTGACCGAGAGACCCAGGGGCCGCCGCTCACGTGGTCGTCCTGCTAAGGCTGTAGGAGCCCCGGAGATGATCTCCCGTAGTAGGACAGCTAGCCAGCTCTCACCAGCAGCTGTTACTGGCTTAACCCAAGTTACCAGAATGCCAGGATCAAGCCATCCTAAAGCACACGGATCATGTCTCTGTCGACGGCAGAGAAAAGAGAATTTTGCTTCCTTTGCGTGTTTCAAACACCAACCGCGAAGCAGCTGGCCCTGTGAGAGAGGCTCCGCTGTGGGTGCCCCTGCCAACCTCAGGCCAGTTTCCACACTGCCAGAACTTTCTTCAATGTTGCCCTGGTTGCAGCCTGCCACTGCGCACTAGAGGGTTGTTCAAGGGGAGAGGTGGGGACAGAACCCTCTTAGCCAAACGTGACAAGGAAGGGAAGTAACCTTTCACCGGTCTTGAGGACCAGTCAGCCGGGGGTTCGTTCCCCGTGGGGAGCCCCACGGTCTAGGTGCTCTTTGTACCTCAGCCTGCGAAGCAAAGTTGCATTGATTTGAGTTGTTTGCATTCGTACCGGCAAGGCGAAATGTTTTTATTACCTTTTCTATTTCTTATTGTATGAGCTTTTGTTGTTTACTTGGCGGTTTTGTCTTTTACTACAAGTTTGAAACTATTTATTATTGCTTGGTATTTGTGCGCCGTTTAAGAAACGGGCACCTTTTTTTTAATTATTATTATTATTATGGATAAAATGTGGAGATGACGGGCGGTCATTCCAACACGGCTTTTAGTAAAATATTTATTGTTCCTTTGGTTCTCTCTGTACAACCTTGGGCCTCTTTCTCCCTCAATGTCACAATGTTGAGTTCGGCATGTGTTTGGCATCTCATTTGTACGCTTGTTCAAAGCCAAGTTTGTTCTGGATTCAAGTTATAAAAATAAATTGGACATTTAACTTGATCTGTAAACCTTGTCCCTTTCTGTGTCTTTGAAGGGTGGGGGATGGCATCTTATGTCCGAAGGTGAATGGAAGGTTTCTTGCCTTCTGACCCAAACCCTTAAGCCTGTA